TCACTTCCCTGAGTTCCTGAATTAATATCCATTTATTCAAAAACATTAACAAATTCCATTAAAATGTACACAATTACATTATTAGTTGAAATTAGTATGCCTTCATTAATTACTCTGTAACGTGGCTATGTAACATGGCTATATAACCTGCCTAAATTCAGTGTTTTTGTGGCTCGTGGGTATCCTTCACTAAACTACTTACAAGGCCTTCCTAAGATACCCAGTGCTTATAAGGTTGAATTGTCCATGAGGTTAAAAGGGGTGGGGGAGGATAGTAAAAACAAAAGAAATCATTGGAAACTGTGCAAATGATGCATATAATTAAGATCTGCCTAAACTAGCATGGCAAGACTACAAGGAGAACTGACTTGGGTCAGGAGCTGAGCTCATAAAGTCTGGCGGACCTCCCCCGCCCCCCGGAGGCCTCCTTCCCCTGAGCTCCAGCGCATACAGGTGGCACTGCAAGTCCTGCTTGGTCTTGACAAATTTGAGGAGACGTGGCCTGGACTGAAACAGAGATACCAGATAGAATTTCTCATAGTCTTCATCCCATTTGGGCAAAAGATTTCAGAGCATGTTGTAGTTCCTGTTTCCTTACTGTTTGTGAGCATTTTTAAATGTTATTAAGCATTCTTATACAGCATCATTTTTGAGAACTCCTAGACATGTTTCAGAGTATGGATGGGCCATAACTTAACGTCTCCTTTGTACATGTTAATTATTTTATGTGCTTTTGCTGTTCTATGTAATGTTACCAGGAGGATCCTTGTACATAATCTCTATCAGCATGTCTGATTTATTAAATAATTCCTTAGAGTAAAGAACTGCTGAGTCAAGGAATTATTCCTTTCAAAGAATATAATTTTTATTATAGACTTAATTTGTGTTTATTGTAGAAAATTTGGAAAATGTAGTAAAAATGTAAAAAAGAGTACAAATTACCATCCAGATATAATTCTTGTCAACATTTTGGTGTCTTTCCCTATATCTTTTTTCCTATACATTTATCTGTATCTACTTACATATATATACACACACACAGATATATATACAAATATAAATATGTATTATTTTTACAGATTTATTCCTTGAAAACAGTTTCGAAAGGCTATATAATATTTTGTCTTATTAATACGCTACAATTCATTTAACTATATTCTTTAAAATATTTTAGATAGTTTAATGTAGTTCTTTTTGAAAAATACTTATCCATTTAATGATCAGCTGCCATGTCGCGTTCCGAGGCACTGGAGACAGTGCACGGGACAGCTTCCTGCCTTCTGTGCGCTTCACGGGAAAAAATTCTCAAATTTACAGCTGTCTTAGCCGTTTCAGGAGAAAAGTACATGGTGCTGTAAAAACGTGTAACGGGAAAACTTAGGATGGCTTCCCTCAGGAAATGCCAGTTTGCTGAGACCTGAGGAATGAGCAACATCCAGTCCCGTGAGAGGGCGGCGGCGGGAGGCAGGACAGATTACCACATGTGGCGGGGAAGTTGCGCATGCTCCTGGGATCTGCAGCAAGCGGAAAAGGAGGCGTAAAATCAATGTTCTGTCTTTTATGCCTCTGTCCGCCCCCACCCCGATCTCATCTTCACGAGGATTGGCCGGTAGAGACCTGCTGAGCAGAGTGATGCCGGCTGCACGTCGGCGTCCTGGGAGTCTGGGTGGGCGGCGAGGCCAGAGCCAGAGCCATAAAGCAGGCAACACGGACATTTTCACGTATATTCCTTTTTCTCATACAGTCTTTAGCAGTTTTGTGAGGGTTCATTATTCTTTCATTTTGCAGATGAGGAAGTTGAGTCTTAAGTAAGTTCCCTGAGGTCACAGGGCTAATGAGTCACAGAGCTAGAGTTCACGTGCGTGGAAGGCTCCTGGTGTCCTTATGGGCTCCCGCTGTCTCACCTGCAGCCCCTGCCTCACCCTGGGCTCCTCAGTGTCCACGCCTTTATCCAGGCAGCCTCCCTCAGCCCAAGCCGCGCCCCTGTCTCCGTTGCCCTTCTTCCTCAAGGGCCCTTCCTCCTGCTGGGCAATGTCTTCCAGCTGTGGGAAAGGTCCCCTAGAAGCTGCTGTGTGGGCCTCGTTTGCGAGGCAGGTGCAGCCCGAAGCCTTTGGACACTGTGTAGGAGGCTGGTCACCTGAGCCACCTGCAGCAGGCTGCTGGCCAAGACTCTTTTCAGACCCTCCTCCTCAAGGTACTTTTTATTCTTTAACTCCCTGCCCTCCAACATTTTATCATGCAAAACATCAAAGTGCAAAGTCGAAAAAGGTTTTACAGTGAACTCCCTGATACCCCTTGTCGGTATCATCTCACGCTCTTGCTTTGTCACATAGCTGCCCCTCTCTGTTTCCTCTTGCTGTCCATCAGTCTGTCTGATTTGCTGATGCATGTCCAAGTAAATTGCAGATATCAGTGCACATGCGCCTACATAATTCGGCATGCTTACCGTTAACTGGGATTCCATGTGTTCATAGGTTTTCCTTTTGGTGTAAAATTTACCTGCAATTCTCAAGACTACATTTGCTGAGTATTGGCAAATGCATATGCCTGTGCAACTCTAGCCCTCACCGATGCCGTAGAACATCACCAGCACCCCAGAAAGTTCCCTCATGCCCCATCTCAGGCCTTACCCTGCCCATGGGCAACCAGTGTTCTTTTTCCAACACAGATTAGTTTTGACTGTTCTGGAACTTCATATAAATGGAATTATATAGTATATATCCTTTGTATAAGACTTCTTTCACTCAGCGTCATGTTTTTTGCATTTCATTCACGCTATTTTGTGTATTAATAGTTCATTTTTATTGCTAGTAGTATCCTTTTGTGTTAATATACCACAGGGTTTTTTTTTTTTTTACTCATTCTCTTATTGATGGACAGCCATTTCCAGTTTGGTACTTTTATGAATAAAGCTACTGTGAACATTGTACAGGTCTTTTTGGACACACGTTTTCATTTCTCTTGGAATTGGAATTGCTGAGTCATACTTACAAAGTACGTTTAGTTTTATAAGCAAAATATATGCATTATGAAATGTAAAATATGTAGGTGCTATTTTGATGGCTTCAAAATTTCAATGAGTATTTCATGCCCTATCAAATGGTATTTTTCACTGCCTGTATTGAGATGCAGGTATTTCTGGAATATAAAACATCCATAACCCCTCTTCTACCCCCGTCTCAAAACACAGACATACACACTTATGTGTGCGTGCACATGCACACGCGCACACACACGCACCCACCAGTGTGTATGTCCTGTTGGTATGCGTGGAGTTTCTGTTTTGCCACAAAGCTCTTTACCAGTCCTTTTTCTAAAATGGTTGTACCATTTTATACTCCTACCAATAATGTATGAGAATATGAGAATTCTGGTTGCTTCTCACCTTTGCCAGTATTTGCTGGTGTTAGTCTTAATTTTGGATATCCTGGCCAGTGTGTGGTGGTATCTCATTGTGATTCCCCATGGATTTTTATCCTTCATTTCAGTTTGGGGAAAATGAATGAATATGAATAAATGGAAGAGAAGAAGGGAAGAAGGGTGAACCAAATAGTTCTGTTTTGAGATTTGACATTGCATGCTTCATAGCACTGTCAAGAACTGACAAGTCCTCCAAATTTTCATCCTTTTTCACATCTTCCTATTCCTTTTAGAGAGTGCATTGTCCTTTTTATATTCCTCACATTCCTTTTTTTGTTCATAATTACTTTAGACTTATTTATTTCCTAATGCTGTTCAGTAGTTCGTTTACTTGAAGTTCTTTGGTGCTGAGTGCTGCTATTTGTTGCACCTGCAGGATCTGGCTGACGGCAAACTTTTTCTGTTGTGTTTTATAATTTTGGAAAGAGGGCTCGTGTTAAAGTAAGTTTTGTCTGGGGGAATCCTGTCTGGCTTGGTGTTGTGTTTGCTTTAACCTTGTAACCTCAGCATGTCATCAGCCTGTGAACACTTCCTGTATAAAGTTCTTAGTTGGGGGAATCCTGGCCTTCTCTCATTAGCTTCAATTCAAAGCCCAAATCTGTTTGAAGACAGGCCCAAGGTTAT